CCCCAAAACCCCAAAACCCCAAAACCCCAAAACCCCAAAACCCCAGATAATAAAGTTAAATTGAAATTAGTTCATTGATTTCTGAAGCATTGAAAGCTCATTGTAGAGTTTTTCAAGTTTGCTTATTTGTTCGGGCTGTTTCTCTGATATATCTGATTTTGCAGAGCTCATATTGGAATCTGTTCTAGCAAAAGTGATATTTTTGTGATTTATTACATTTTCTTTATCTGCTTTATCCCAATTTGGCTTAATCTCAAAAGTCTTTTCACGACTAAAGTTTGATTGCAATTGCTTGGCAATACTTAGTTTGAGTTCCTTAAAAGCTTCTGGTTTGTTTCTTTCCTTATCTGAGGGTCTATCTGTCTTATATTTTGCAATATTCATAGCTGAGTACCCTTCATTAGAGTCAATATTTTTACCTTCAAGACCAGATATTTCTTGGCTCATTGTGTTGGACTTCCTTATATCCTCAGCGAATATGTCAGAAATTTCTCTTCTCACTTTATCATCTTCCTTAATGTTCATGATCTCAGTTTGACTGGGAGTCAACTTGTTATCATTGATATGATCAAATTCAAGTAATGATATACTCTTATAATGGTCGATAGAATCTGTGTCCAGCTGGAACCCATTTAGAGATGCTTCTTTATCAGCATTCTGAGGTGTCACTGCATCTGTAGCGAAATGTATAGAAGGTTTGTAAGATCTAGAATCATCGCAAGCAGAGTCAGATAAAATATAATCATCGTGAGAATAGGTAGTTTTTATTGGATCCTGCTTATTCCTACTTTTTGATCTACGGATTGATTTCTTATTCCTTGTCTTTATAAACTTCTTGCTTTCTCTGCTCTTATTACCCCTTTTAAATGATGTTTTTCTTGTCCTAAAATTTCTCTTAGGAGCCGCTACAGGTTTTGGGTTTGCTCGGGTTCTCCTCGTAGACACAGTTCTGTTCCGTGCTCTTTTAGAATGCATTAAGAAGCTGTTAGCAATAGTATTCTCAAGAGTTTCAAACTTTGATTCAAATGTTTTATTCTTAGTTGCTACTTTTTGAGTCAAATTTGACAGATTATTGACTAAATTTCCTATCTTTTTATCCATTCTATCTTCCAAATTCCGAAGATCTTCTGTATCAACTTCTAATTTATGGCAAAGAGAGTCTTTCTCCCCATCTCCACTTTTGAATCCATGTATTTTCATTTCAAGTGAGTCTAATTCTTTTTGCAGGTTGAAGAACTTTATGTTAACTTCATTGGAGAATTTATCAACTATATATCAAGATAATATCGACTAATTCTTTCAAAATATCTATTTTTATCCTAGAAAAATGCTCAAAAAAAGTTTGATAGGTTTCTGTATAGAGTTTGATATCCGATCAAAATAAAGGTAAATTTGATAGTTTGAGTAATAATACTATGGAACTAGAAAATAGTGTTTCATTTTCTTCTTACCATCAATTTTACTTTCCTTCGGCTCTACATAAGAAGTTTTGACTCTCATATCTATTTGATGAATATAATTACATAGAAAATAAGATTTCTTTTGCCTTTAAGGAAATATAAAGAAAGAAATGGCTTTGTAACTACCAAAGAGAAAATTATAAGTTTATCTTAAGAGAAAGCTCTCATTTTTAATTTTCTTGATTTTTGATGAACAAAATTTCGTAAAAACTACAAAACTGAATATTTATGAATGAAAATATTTCTATATCGACTAAAGGTTTGATAAACTGGGGATCCACTAATAAGATTCAGAAGGTCTTCTTCCTGATAGAGTTATGTTCTGAGAAAATGTTAATTCTGACTTTTAAATAATAAAATATAGCTCTTCTTAAATATCTACATAAAAATTATACCTTGAGCTTGTTGTTCTAATATGCTGATAATCTTCCTTTCAAGACTCTACAGCATTACATAAACTTACTGTGATCTCTGAAGACCAAGGGCGTTCTTGGTTTCATTTTGAGAAGGGAGACACTTCGGAAAGCAGAGACTCAAACTCTGAGCGTAGCTTATATCTAGATGTTAGATTTAAGGAAATACTCAAAATCACGTAGCTGGTGCTCAACATGGTTACTTCAAATCCTTGCTTATCTGAGACTCCTCTGTGCTGAGACTTTTAGAGCAAGCCAGTTTCTCTTCAAGGAAAAGTATCCTGTCTTCAAGCTTCTTTGTAGTGTCGTCTTTTTCTGATTGTAATCTAAATTATTTCATCTTGAGTTATATTCGAAACTAAATGGAGTCTTTACCTTTTGATTCGGCACATCATTTTGTCAAGAACATCATCAACTTTATTAAACTGTAAATTATGGAACTCAAACTCCTCGACTTTTTTAGAGAGTTTGGTCAGGTTTGACTGGGTTTTTTGAACTTGGGTTTCCAAGAACTTTGTCATTGATCCACTACTCATTTTCATAAATTTAAAATTTAAATTGTTTCAACATTCATAAAGAAAAGGGGTTTTGGGGTTTTGGGGTTTTGGGGTTTTGGGGTTTTGGGGTTTTGGGG